AATTAATCATTTCCTTATTTTTAAGATAATATTTAGTCACTTTCTATTTTTTAGAGTTCCATCTTATTATGTTAATTCAATTATCAATTGATATTTGGTTCAATTAGTTTCTTCTGTTCTTGTTCATTTGACAGAAATTAAAAATTATTATTATTGAAATCATTTCCATGAGAACATTAAAACAAGGATTAATCAATTAATTCATTATTAAATCATTATTGAGTAATTTGATTAATCATTAATATATATCAAAAATTATTAGAATTATAACGAATTTTACATAAGAAGAAAAGGGATGCCAAAAGGGCGATGGAGAAATGCTACCAGATTAGATGTAAAAGCTAAATGACTAATGATTACGTATTAGAAAAATAAAATAAATTAGCAGGAAAATGATGATTATGTTTAGTGTTACAGCAAAGCCTTAACTTATGACTTTATACATCAGACAGCTGTAAGACTAATCATGAGAAAGAATTCTCATTGAAAAATAAGAATTTATTCATTTGATATCGAGGAATGGAATTATAGCAAATTTGTGACTATCTCTAGGTAGATCCTAAAAACAAAACTACATTATAATTCCTTATATTGAAGATATAAGCCAATTATGATCATAGCTATTTAATTAATTTTATGGAATGGAGCATGGAACAATCCTTAAAAGAGAATAATTACATATTACCATAATAAGTTGAATTTTTATAACAAAAATGGGAATTTTATTTTATTTTCAGATATCGAAACTATTTTAAGATCAGTATTGGAGAATGTTGAAATATTTGAGATATATACTATGTGACTCTAATTACTAATGTATTCAGTAGCTCATAAAGGAGCTGAATAAAGCAAGAATGAATCTTAGGAAGGCTAAATTCTGAATGAAGAAACCAAAACCTTATGAAAATTTTGAAAAATTCAACATTAAAGATTAGAACATTTTAAATACTTCGGATTATATAAATTGAAAGGGGAAGGATAAAAATTAACTGAATTAAATCGAAGAGAAATCATCTAGGTTATTGTCATAAGTGAATCATCTCGTTTAGCATTTAAACAAACTATTGATCCTTAATTTTTAACAAATATAAGATAATGCAATTTTTTTATATAGTTACAGAGCAATCTGATTATCTATTAACTATTTATAAGAAATTCAATTCAGAAATTATTAGGATTCTTCAACAACTATTGAATAATTTTGTTGAAAATTAAAATTTGATTTTAAAGTAAGAGAATACTTAATAAAACAAATAGATATTTGAAAACTTTTCACAAGACATTTGCATAAGTAGTATGGATGAAATGATGTATGAAGATCATTAATCAAAATATTGTTATTTCTCAAAAATAGAGTTCTTTAAAAAGAGATGCAATCCTCCCTTTATAGGATGCAGTCGTTAGAAAATTTTTAGGTTCCTCAAATGTAACGTTCTCTTTGAGGATTGAGGTATTAGATCCTCTCAGGCCTTAATTAATATAATAAATATTAACTCTCTAGTCTATTTATATAATCTACATTGAAACTAAATTAATTTTGAAATATAGTGTTATAAAATAATA